ATCTATCTATCTATCTATCTATCTATCTATCTATCTATCTATCTATCTATCTATCTATCTATCTATCTATCTATCTATCTATCTATCTATCTTAACAGAAGGAAAGCTGAAGGAGAGAGAACTTGTTATGTTTGGAAATCAGTTTTAAAAATAAAACTATAGTAGTAGCTATAATAATCTGAGGGACACTTTTTATTGATCTTAAAACTCTGACGTGACAGTCGGCAGGTAATATGAAGTCCTTCAAGCTTTTTTATTTTATTTTATTTTATTTTGTTTTAAGTCGACATCACCTTTCACCTCTGATCTGCTGCCTCTACTGAAACTGAGTTTTGACCAGACTTTGGAGCTCTTCGTGTCGGTTCTGACCGGGCAGCCCCTCCCTGGCGGGTCCTCTGTGCGCATGCGCAGTGGCTCTCGGCTGTCAGGGGCTCAGACTGACAGTATGGCGGCGGAGTGCAGCCGTAAAGATGCTACTGTCGCCCGTCATGTTCCTGTCGCGGGCAGCACGTAAAAGGACTACTGACGGCGGAAAGAGAAGAGAATTCATCGAGAGCGGCCCGTCGCCTTGAGCTCCAGAGATGGCCCGGCTCGCCGACTACTTTGTTGTGGTGGGATACGACCTCGACAACCGAGGTGTGTTCTTCGAGTTAGCCTGCCCCGCTGTGGGTAAACAGGAGGCGGGAGGGAGGCGGGGACCGGCCGGGGCGCTTTTTCACAGCTGACCGATATTACGCCCTGTCAGCCGGCGACGCTGTCAAATTTAGGCCGTGGTCGGGAAGGCCTCCGGAGCTCACCGCACTTCAGGAGTTTGGCAGGTGTTGGGAACAGGCTGAACTCACAGCTCTTTACTTAGGAACACACAGAACCGAGCCTGATGAGTTATTTAGCTCAGTGCTAACACTTAGCCTGGTTCTGAAGGGGGCTGGCTGTCCCAAGGCGGGTTTATCCACCCTTATTAAACGCAACCACCTTCTTTCCGACCATCATTTTACTTAGTCAAATCAGAAAGTTTCACATGATGTAATGGAGAGTAGTCGTGTTGTCCCWCCGTCCAGACTTTCTTGTTGTTTTCTGTGGATTAACCCAGATAGGTGGCTTTACCCCTCCCTGCCTGTCCCCCCTCGTCTTGTTGGGGGACTTTCGGGATCGAACCGTTATCCGACCCCCTTTTCAGAACCGAGCCGTGGCCTAGTTCTGGACACTTGTATCATGAAATATTAATACCGCCCATCCCAACTTGTGACAGACTTTTATTGTTGAGTTTTTCTTCATGATTTATTCATGAGTGGCAAATTGTAACATGACAAGTTCCCCCGGGCTGAAAGCAGGCAGAGAACTGGCTTTTCTCTCCATGATGATGATGATGATGATGATGATGATGATGTGGGAGCAGTCTGACTGTGTGAAGGCTCTTCATGTAGCTGCTTCAGTCTCAGCCGAGTACAGGATGTTGTGAGGTGGACACTGCAAGCGCTGCAGAAAGTTTCCTTCCTGTTCTGCAGTGCTTGGAAGCAGTGCTCACAGCACACAGGCCTGTAAAAGGCATCTGGGAAACAGACTTTAAAGCCACAGAGGCTTTTAATGCATCAAAGCACTTATGTCTTATAAAAACAAGCGCTCATGCTTAATGATGATCATTGGCATAGCCTAACTGCTGCTGCCTTAAACTTTACAGGGTCTTCTCTTCAGGGTGGGAATCCTCATGATTTAATTAAGATTCAGAGGGCTGCYAGCTGTAAAATGATTATTGATGCGTTTGTTATTAAAACACCAAGAATCAGCTGGTAAGATTATGATCATTAAGTTTACGCAAAAACCAGTAAAACTAGAAGACAGAGACAGAAATACAAATTTACAAACTAAATAAACTCTGACTTGTATATTCTAATAAAGAGTGCACTAGGGCTGCCACAAACGATTATTTTAATAATCGTTTAATCACCGATTATTTATTCGATTAGTCGACTAATCGGATCATACGTTAATTGAATATAAAACATACAGCTTATCACCTCAGAATGCAGCTGCTATTATATAACCATGGTTAGATTTTAGCTATATGCTAACTAAAAATAACAGCAGTGGAAGGTAAGTTCTGCTCTGTAGATATTGCACAGGTTTCTCTTTCATTTTCTTAAAATGATCCCACACTTTTGAGCTTTGTTGCCAGGTGATACCAGAGCCTGTCTGTATAATGTCTTGTGACGTCCACGGCCTACCCCAGTTACCACTACTGTGCATGTGTGTCAAGGACAGAAAGGCAGATGTGGCAGTGGAAGGTGTCAAAGCAGTTTGGAGAGAAAAACAAAGTAAAGAAAAAACAACAACAACGAGTAATCAATTATTTTATTATTAAATTAGTCGTCGATTAATCGATTAATCGTGGCAGCCCTAGAGTGCACTATAATGTGTCAAAACCCCTTTAAATCCCAGACTTCTGACCAACAGGACCTAGGTCAGTGCTTCTCAAACTGGGGTGTGAGCTCATTACTAGGTGCGTGCCGTGGTTTAATTTATTTCATTTTGGAGTCTAAAAAGCAGAACTATTTCCTTCTAAAAATAATTTCGAACCCCTGACCTCCAGCTTGACAGTTTGGTTTGTCGTTGGAGGCATTGTGTTGCGGTGTTTTGCTATCATCAACTCCCATCATGTCATGCTCTTACATCATCATACTAACGTCCTGCTCTGAATACTTGCAAGGTTTACTGCGCTATGCTTCTCTAATTTTTAAGGCGTATTCATTTCAGTTTATTTATATAACATCAATTCATAGCAAAGTCATCTCAGAGCAGTGTGGAAAAACATATACCTGCCATAAAAAGTGGCAGTTAATAAAGTTATCTTATCTTAGGAAGCCAGTAGATTGTGCTGAATCTTGACTTTGTCGCTTATCACACTTCTTTTTCACATTCTAATAGAAAAATGGATAAAGTGATATTATTGTAAGTATTGGTGGGTTTGTGTTTCAGTTAGTGGTGTAAGCATGTGTAACCCCAATCAGCCACAAAATGTGGGTGATATCTGCGTTGTATCGTACACTAGCAGACTGTGAAGATGGACAATAAAATTATAGCAGTATGCTGACAATATCTATGAACTTAAAATCAGGACCTAATGCTAATCTGCTCATTGATTATTTGGGGTAAAAGGGGCTGTCAGACTTTGCTTGCGTAGTTAGTGTTGGTTTATATACCACATTTAAAACAAAAAATATCGATTCTATTTATATACCATTTTGAAATGTTTGAACATGCATTTCCTCTGGCATCTATCTAGAGGTGTTAAGCCACTCACTGCACTCCTTCTTCCACAGTGTAATATTAAAGCTTTTACATTGTCCAGTCTCAGTACAACTCGCTTTGCTCTAATTCAACACAACATCTCAAGTTCACAACATCTCAGAAGTTTTACATGTAAGGGTTGCATCAATGTTGGCGGGTTAAGTGTTGCATTGACTTTGGCTGGTCAACTGCTACCTCGATGTAGGCGGGCAAGGGTTGCATCGATGTAGGCGGCTCGAGCGTTTCAGTGATGTAGGTGATTCATCGTTTCATCGATGTAGGCGGCTCGAGCATTGCGCCGATGTAGGTGGGCAAGCGTTGCATCAATGTAGGTGGCTCGAGCGTTTCATCGACGTAGGCTGCTCGAGCGTTTCATTGATGTAGGTGATTCATCGTTGCATCGATGTAGGCGGCTCGAGTGTTGCGCCGATGTAGGTGGGCAAGCGTTTCATCGATGTAGGCGGCTCGAGCGTTTCATTGATGTAGGCGGCTCGAGCGTTTCATTGATGTAGGCGGCTCAAGCGTTTCATTGATGTAGGCGGCTTGAGCGTTTCATTGATGTAGGCGGCTTGAGCGTTTCGTTGATGTAGGTGATTCATCGTTGCATTGATGTAGGCAGTTCGAGCGTTGCGTCGATATAGGTGGGCAAGCGTTGCATCGTTGTAGGCGGCTCAAGCGTTTCATTGATGTAGGTGATTCATCGTTGCATTGATGTAGGCGGTTCGAGCGTTGCGTCGATGTAGGTGGGCAAGCGTTGCATCGTTGTAGGCGGCTGGAGCGTTTCATCGATGTAGGTGATTCATTGTTGCATTGATGTAGGCAGTTCGAGCGTTGCGTCGGTATAGGTGGGCAAGCGTTGCATCGTTGTAGGCGGCTCAAGCGTTTCATTGATGTAGGTGATTCATCGTTGCATTGATGTAGGTGGTTCGAGCGTTGCGTCGATGTAGGTGGGCAAGCGTTGCATCATTGTAGGCGGCTCGAGCGTTACATTGTTGTAGGCGGCTCGAGCGTTTCATCGATGTAGGCGCTCGAGCGTTACATTGTTGTAGGCGGCTCGGCGGCTCGAGCGTTTCATCGATGTAGGCGGCTCGAGCGTTTCATCGATGTAGGCGGCTCGAGCGTTTCATTGATGTAGGTGATTCATTGTTGCATCAATGTAGGCGTCTCAAGCATTTCATTGATGTAGGTGATTCATCGTTGCATTGATGTAGGTGGTTCGAGCGTTGTGTCGATGTAGGTGGGCAAGCGTTGCATCATTGTAGGTGGCTCGAGCGTTTCATCGATGTAGGCTGCTCGAGCGTTTCATTGATGTAGGTGATTCATCGTTGCATTGATGTAGGTGGCTCAAGCATTTCATCGATGTAGGCGGCTCGAGCGTTGCATCAAATTATTTTCATTATATTCCATCCAATCAATTGGCTGCAATTTTGCTGATGTCAAACAGGGGACATGTTAATTTAAGTTGTATCCATTTTAGTAATTTGTAATCCCTCATTCTGTCTGTTTTAAAGCATAAGAGGTAGTCACAGGGCTGTTTGGCATTATGGTGTGTGCCACTCTGAACATGGAGCACAAAGCTGAGGACAGAGTGTCTCAGGAGCTTAGAAAGACAATGCATTGTGTTAAAGGTAAAGACTAGAAGACCATCTATCTCCAAGCAGCAAGATGTTTCTATGACTGCAGATGGACAGATTATTTAGAAGTTGAGCCTGATGGGCCCGGTACAGGCCCCACAAGAGAAATGAAGAACAAAATAATTCTAAAAGCCTGTGGACTTAAAGGGTTAAGGTCCACAGGACTGGTGACAACCTCCCTGGATGTGTCCACAAGAGGAAAATTGAAGTAAAACTAAAAAAAAGAAAAGAAAAAGAATCGAGTCATTTCTCCTTTGTTTCTTGAGGGGGTTGTCAGATATATTGTAAAGATTATAGCACAGTACTTTGCAAAGCACAAAATAACTTAAAATTATATATATACACTCACCGGCCACTTTATTAGGTACACCACGCTAGTAACGGGTTGGACCCCCTTTTGCCTTCAGAAC